ACAGTTTATTCCAATATTAGATGTAGAAATGAATACTGCAATCACACACAAACATCACACATACAGGCACAAAACACCTAATTCAGATAGAAACTGCGGCAGTGATTTGTTGTTGTTGTTGTTGTTGTTGTTGTTGTTGTTTGCTACTTTTATGGGAGAATAGCATTCTTTTGCCTGCCTGTTTTCCAAAGCAAAGAATAATCACAAGTGGGGGAGAAAAAACTAAGACAGCTCTTCAGTAGTGGGGAGGTTATCAGATCAATTTGCCACATTCCCGGGGACTCATCCTGAATGAAGCCATTCACTCCTGCTTTAAAAATGCTTCTCCCATACTTACTTTTCCTGCATCAATAACTCTTAAATTATTGTGGATACTCTATTTCTCTTTTCTAGTCTTGTGAGCCGTATAGGAAGGATAATACAAATACGAACACTTCAAGAATTAAAAAGTATGCACCAAGACAAATTCCTTGTTTGTCCAATCACACTTGGCCAATAAAGAATCTATTCTATTCATTATAAGAAGGAAAATGCAAGTCATTTCTAATATGGACAAATCCTCTGGATAAATTAACAGGGAATCCTATGGGCCCCATCACTAACATGAACTTCAAAAACAGTTATAAATTGTGATGCTTGGAAATTTGACCAAAATAGTTTTTAAAAGCTTGCTTTCATTGTCCTCTTCAAACCAGTTTCCTGCATAGAACTGGTGCCTGGACTGAGGGGCCAAAATTCCTTTTTTTCCATCCTTTAACTCTCTTTAATTCCCTTTTATCTTTTAGTTGTTATACTTAGCTAATAAAATATTTACATGTAAAAAAACAATTTTCATTCTCTTTTTACAGGTTGAAGTAACATTATTGCCTATTTATTCAGAGACCTTTGGAATTTGGCCCATGGCTCTTTGCTGCCACTTGTCATTACTTCATCTTCACTTACTTCACTTAGAAGGCAGTGCAGTGCAACAGAGGCCAGCTGAGCAGCAGTGAAACAGAACTAAGTGACAGTAGACAAGTGCCTGTGAGAAGTACAGTGGACCAGTGGAGTAGCAGCGGTGCAGAACAAAGTAGGACAGTGAATCAGAGGGCTGAGAGCAGCATGGTGGCCCAGCTGAGCACAACTGAGCAGATTGCCCAGATCAGCACATCATGCCCAACCCCCCCCCCCCGCCGCCAAAAGAGCAAGAAGGCAAAGAGGAGAATGATAAGTACAAAAAATCCTGGACAGGGAGGAAAGGGATAAACCTACAAGGCAGGGAGTAGAGAATTAAGAGTAAAGCATCTCCTAGAAATCAGCCAGAGATTTCCAGCAAAAAAACAAAAAAAACAAAAACCATTTCACTTCATAGAGGGTCAAGAAATTACATAAACTTTAAAAATTTTAACTTTTTAAAATCTGATTTTTTTAAAAAAAACAAGTTTTTTCTTTTTTTATTTTAAAATTATTTTTTCAATTTCTCTGTTCAATTTTAAAATCTTTTTCACTTTTTCAATCTTTCAATTTTCAATTTCCTTCACTTTTAAAAAATATTTTTTTCAATATTTTATTTTTTTAAATCTTTCAATTTTTTTCAATTTCAAAAATTTGGAAAAAACCAGTTTATTTTAATTCTTTATAATTTTTTACATTGTTAACCATCTAAGAGGGAAAAAAATCCCACATTTATGAATTGAAGTAAAATTTGGAAAATATTCCTTGAAATATTCATGGGACTACATGAAGATGTGTGTGTGTGTGTGTGTGTGTGTGAGAGAGAGAGAGAGAGAGAGAGAGAGAAGAGAGAGAGAGAGAAGAGAGAGAGAGAGAGAGAGAGAGAGAGAGAGAGAGAGAGTGTTTCTGACACTCTATGCACATATGTCTTTGCTTATATTTCACTAGGGAATGTATTCCCTAGTCTTCAAAAACCAAACTAAACGGTTCCTTCTCTCAAGCCTAACCATTAGTCCCAAACAACAAAATGCCATAAGCATGAATAACAAATAAAAGCCCTGGTCACTTCAAATGCCTTTCTAATAATGGCTGAACAATATCAACTTCTTCACAACAAAATTCAGGCAGCTTCTTTTCAAAGAGTGCTCCTCAATTCTTTCTAAACCTAAATGTAAGTAACAGGCTCTACTAATTTTACTATTCTTTACCTTAGTTAACTTGACTACCAAATACCAAGTCAGTTTGAATTTGTGGTTTCCTCATTACTGTTGCTGCCTCATTACTTAAGGTAATTCACCATTTCTTGGGTAATAGCAGGAGTTTTATATTATTTAGAGGTTTCAAGGCACTTTTAAAGATGCAACTGGCTTCCAATGTATCCTCATTAACTGCTCTCAGGAGTTCTTGACCAAAGAAGCACATTATTAAATATTGATTTCCTTTCTTTCCAGACCTGCCAATGTTACTATTTTCAGTCTCACATGGTCTGCTACTATTTAGTGTACATGCAGTTAATTGATTTCTGATTTTGCATGTTCATCTTTTATGAGGTCCTGTATCAAGGCCATTCAAAGGAGAGGGGATCATCTGTAGTCCACAGAAATAGGCTCCCACCCGCAAGGCAAAGCTTAGGAGATGTGGCCCAATAACCACCTTTTCCACTCATTGCCAGGAATGTATCCTGGCAAAACCAGACAGCAGACATCACCTTGCTGACAAAGGTTTGCATAGTTAAACTATGATTTTCCAGCAATAATCTATGGCTGTGAGAGTTGGACCATAACGAAGCCTGAGTGCCAAAAAATTGATGCTTTTGAATTGTGGTGTTGCAGAGGATTCTTGAGAGTCCCTTGGACTGCAAGGAGATTGAATCAGTAAATCCTAAAGGAAATCAAACCTGACAGTTCTTTGGAAGGACAGATACTGAAGCTGAAGCTCAAGTACTTTGGCCACCTAATAAGAAGAGAGAACTCATTGGAAAAGACCCTGAGGTTGGGAAAGATGGAAAGCAAAAGGGGAAGGGGAAGGCAGAGAATGAGATGATTAGTTAGTGCCATTGACAAAAACTCCATTTGTGTCACCTCCACAAGAATTTGCTATGCTATGTTATAAAACCTGAGCTGTGATCAGTTTGCCTTTTCTTTCAGCACCTATGTCAGTGGATGATGTCACCCAATGTTTTCAGATAGATGTGAAACAATAATGGAGAGAATGGCGGCTGGACATCAACTGTCTATCTCAGCACAGTTTAATTATCTCTGAGGGAAACCAGATATTTTTATCAATTCATTAAACTCCCTTAGCTAATTCAGATTATTTCAGGGCCAGATTCAACATCCTTCCATTGGCACTTGTATATATGGAATATTTATTTAGATTCCTAGGGCCAGTCAGTCTTGCCCTTGTGATAAGGGCTCAGGTTCATATCATCCTTTATCTGCTGTTACATTGTACATTTCATTACAATACCTGAAGAAAATTTATCTTACCTTTGTTCCCTTTTCCTTCAGATCAGCCTGAGGAAGTTTATATTGCCTTTTATTGACTTTATATGAGATGGAGCTTCCACATAAGGCAACTCTATCCCATATAATAGCCAGGTTTTGTATAACAGAGGCAAATGTTTGTAAACAATTGATCTTAGGCAGTGGTGAAATCCTCCATGTGTCGCCACTGGTTCACTGCCCGTGCATGTGCGGTGCGTGCCAGATGCACGCTGCACGTGTGCACATTCACAGTACACATCAAATGCTCACTGCGGGCACATGTGCAGTCCACACCGAACATACATTTTGCGCAGAAAAAGAAACTGTTTGAAGGTAAGTAGAACAGTGAGGGGGAGGGGAACAGGTGTGCCATGTGATTTAGATTCAGTAGAAAGCAGGATTTCCTGCTTTCTAACGAATATAAATTGCATGGTACAGCTGATCGTCAGAAATACTGCTTCGGACCAACTGGTAGCTTTTTTTTTTTACTACTGGTTTGTTGAACCGGTAGATTTTATCACTACCGTACAGGTGCGAACTGGTAGGATTTCACCACTAGTCTTAAGCATACATTGTTAAGTAGTATTTAAGTCTTTTTCGTGATCTATGATCCATATCTCAGATTTTAAGAATTTATAGTAATGTTTGTGTCCATGAGGTTAAATTATTTTGTTGTAAGTTGAATATTTGTATCCAGTTCCAAATTTAGGCACTGTAATAAAGGATAATTGGAAATAAGTGAACAAGACTTGAGAGGGAGGAAATTTAGGAAGGTTCTGACTTGATTTCTGATTATTATGTTTCTTACACTTTTGTGTATATTCTGCTTTTGCAAATTATATTTTCACTTGTGCATATCACTAGATTGCATCCCTTTATGAGCATAGGTGTCCATAATAGTGTCCATAATAGTGTCCATAATAGTACCCCTCAGTTGGTTGTTCTCTCTCTCCCCTCCCTCCCCCTCCCCCTCTCTTCCTGTGTGTGTGTGTGTGTGTGTTTGTAACAGATCTTACCTGATGCACCCTCTGATACTTTTATTTTATTGTAGTTTTTCCATTTGTTTCATGCTTTCTGTCCACTTAACAAACAGAATGTTTCAGGAAGAGACCTTTCTCATGCAAATTTTCTCTTGCTACATCTTCCATTCTCTTACCAAGACCCAAGCCTATGCTGATACTGAGTTAATAGACAAGGACATTCTTATTCTAAGTACTACCCCACAGTATTTATCTTGAAAAAAATAATCTTAAGGGATTCTTAAGTATCAGCATAATCTGGATCTTGTATTTTCCATTGTGGGGTCTTAGTTAATAGTTGAAATTCTGTTTTGTACTACTTCTACTCAAGCAGCCACATCAGCTGGAAGACCTCAATGGCAAAATAACTTCTTCAATAAATAAACAGATTGGGAAGAATGAGACTGTTTGACTTTATGGCATAATGTGTGGTTGAAGAGCAGGGAACAGCTTTCATACTGAAATGTAGGCAAAGAGATATGACACAGAAACAGTCAGACACATTCACATAGTGAAATTAATATAGTGCCCCGAGGTCCCTCTTAAAAAGTTGCACAATATCTGCAATGCTCATTTAGCTTTATTTGAAGGAATATTTGCCAAATTTTACTTCAATGCATAAATATTTTCGAGTTTGTTACATAGCAATTTGATTCATGTAAAGAAAGATAAAGTGATAGCAAGCAGCAATCTCAGGTCATTGGCCATATCTTGAAGACATCCAGGGTGGTAGATGGTGACGGCATTATTTTCCAATGAGGCTATACAATGAGATAAAATAATAGGTTGATAAAAGCAAGTTTAAGATAAATTCTGTTATCTGAACCTGAAAATATCACCTATCCTCCTTTGTGCCTTTGAAACACTTGCTCCTCTTCAGGTGAATGCCTTGGAATGCTTTGGATGGAAAACAGTGGTATCCAATTCTACATCTGTGGCATTTTTATGAGAGGAATGTTTACTTACTATTGGCAGCATGTGTATCTAGGTTTACAATTCCATCTCCCAATATTCTTGTAGTCTTTTGGACAGTAACGAAAGCAGCTTCGTCCTTGTCTACGACAGTGGCCCTGGGCATTACCTATGAAAAGAAAAAGAGTAGACAAAGGAATGATAAGTAAAGATACTTTGTTATTTAGATAGATATTTCCTTCTAAGTTATCACTTTCATCTACAGAATTGCAGGATTACTATGAATTCAGGAAGTTACATAGTTGAATTGGCAGGTAGGCCTGTATCTATTAAGGTAGTATGGAGGAAAACATCTGATTCACACCAAAGGAAGAGCTTGCTGTGCTATATTTCTCTCCATTATTACTATGGGCCCTTGCTTGCTAGGAAATAATCCTAAATTATCATGGTTGATTGTGCTGGGTGTTTTTGATGAAGATCTTGAATGAGAATTGTAAACTTCCTTTGAACTTCAGGATCTGGTTTACCTTTGGCTTTCTTCCTCTTCTCTTAATGTTTATGACATTGTTCTTCTCCACTCTTGAAAAGTGGTGCATTTGCAACATTTTGCTGCAATATCTTCTCTTTTTTACAAATTGAATATCAATAGGATAATAAACGTTTATTTTTATTTATTTTTATCTCATCTTTATTTCTTAAAATAACTCAAGGTGGCAAATGTATCTAATACTACTTCTCCCTCGTATTTCCATGAACACCAAGCAGCAGTCATAAGACATGATGAAAAGTCTTTAATTTCACAACGCATGGACAGACTTAACCATACTTTCAACTGGGGAACTGTGACCATCCTAGATGAAGCCAAGTCCAAAAACACTAGAGAATTCCTGGCACTCTGACAGATTAGCTATCAATAGACACATAGACATAAACAATATGTACTTACTTTGCAAAAGAGACAATGAACAAGCCAAAAAGATAAGACCAAAACATTTCCCCACCAGCAATCAACATTTAGATTATTTTATATTAACACCAAACTTAACATCTGACCAATAAACAAGAAGTAAACAATACCCCAATCAAGGAAGTGCTAAAAAGTTAACAATAAACAGTACAACCAAAAAACTCCCAAGACCTCTCCTACCAATACTAACAGGGCAGATCACTAGAATATAAACTGAGAGAAACTCCATTCCTTACTGATGTTACTTAATTTGGGCATGAAACAACTGTAAAAAAACAAAACAAAAAACAAGCTGAGAGAATACCAAGGATGCCTTCTCCTATTTTACCATAACAACAATCCTGTGAGGTGCTTTCTACTAAGAGAAGTCCAAATTTACCAGCCAGCTTTCATGCCAAAGGTGGAACTAGAACAGTCTCCTGATTTCTAGCTAGGTGCTTTGACCACTAAACCAAACTGGCTCTCTATTGTCCCTCAAACACATCATAATATTTTTTGTTGAGAATTTGGTAAAGCAAAACTAAAATGAACCAACCAATAACCTACAGTAATAAAACCTTGAGTTAAACTTTGTAGAGAATAGTGAATCAATGAATTGGTTTTCCAATCCCTCTTTGATGCCCTATATGACACTGGATGTCAAATTTAATGTGTTAGGATATGGTGCTTGCCTAACAGGTTGGCCAGGCAATATACAAGCCAATATGATGAATATGTATTCTATGACTTTAAGAGTCATTGTAATGCTGAGTCATTGTATCCTGATTGGATAAGCTCTGTAGTAACTGTATTTAAGGAGAGCTTGAATGTAGTCAGTGTGGACATGCCACCATCGTGACCTGTTACCATCGTGACCTGTTACCAGTATGACCTGCTACTATTTATTATCTGCTGATGTTTTGTAATTTCTACTTGATCTCTTACATGGTCTAATGTGATCATGGTTTATTTATTCTGTTTTTAAGAACTATTTATATTGTTCCTGTTTGATCCTTTTACTGCAAACCGGTAAGAAGAACTTTTGTATCTCTGGACTGATTATGATTGGCTAAGACTTGGATTGATTAAAGACTATGAGATTGTTTTTCACTATAAAGTAAAATACTTTGATAAACCAGTTTGTATGCATTTTATTCATCATTGCTCTCAGCACTGTTTCCATGTGCTCTACGCTCTGCTGGTTGTAAACACAACAATATCCTTAACATAATGCATTAGAAAAATCAATGGCATATTTTTTCAAATGTTTAAAGGCTCATATTGTCAATAATCCACAGTGTTGAAAGCTATTTCTTTAACATTGAAATGTTAAAATTTCCCCTCGTTGAAATGTGCCCACCAGGTTTCCCTGCATTTCACCAGCCAAGGGCTCAGGGGAGGGGTGGGGGAGTGGCGGCAATTATTAGGGAAAGTCTTAGTCCGAGGGAGACCACTGTTCCTCAAATAGCTGGATGTGAGTCCCTCCTCATGAAGTGGGGCCGTGGGAGGCAGATGGGTTTGCTGACTATGTACCTGGCTCCCTGCTACGTGGTGGCGACCCTGCCCGAGCTGCTCGACGTTATTGCCGGGGTGGCGGTTGCTACCCCCAGACTTATTGTCATGGGGGATTTCAACCTGCCATCTGCAGGTGAGGTGTCAGAGGTGGCTCGGGAGTTCATGGCTTCCATGGCAGCCATGGACCTGACCCAACTAGTTCAGGGCCCTACTCACACAGGGGGTTACACTCTGGACTTGACTTTTGTCTCTGGTCAGTGGTTGAATGATCTTGATAGAGGGGATTTAGATATTAAACCCTTGTCATGGACAGATCATTCTCTCCTTCGCTTGGACTTTCCTGCCACTTCCCCCCACCGCAGGGAGACAGAGCCTATCAAATGGTTCCGTCCCAGGCACCTGATGGATCCCGAAAGGTTCCTGATGGAGCTTGGGCCATTTCCTGAGACCCTGGCACACGACTCGACTGAAGACCTGTTGGCCGCCTGGGGGAGTGTGGCCGCCGGGGCTTTGGACCACATCGTGCCTGTTAGGGTGTGTGTAAAAAGTATTTGTTGCTTGTGCAACGAGCAGAGCAGAAACACACAGGGAAGGAGATAAACGTGCAGCTCGTGTGAGAAAAATACTTTATATACAAGATAATAAGCAGTCTCGGTGTAGGTAAAACAGTCCAAGGTCATAAACAGTAATATCAGTCCAGTAAGTATCTTCCCTTACCAAAGCAAACAGACTTTAGTAACTCTTGGTATACAGTACCATATAACAATCCAGTCTAACACCAATCAGCAGAAAGACACAGGAAGCAACAGGAGCAATCAGGAACAAAGAACGCTTCTCTGCGCTGCTTATTTATGCACTGTAGCCTAATCCTTAACTGGTCTCGTTCTTGCCTACGTTTGGCCTCATCCAGTAACCTACCAGTTATACTGGCCAATGTTAGTTCATCTCTAGACAATACTTCTAATGATGAAACAAAAGAGTCATAACTGTCATCCAACGATGAAAGAATAATATAAACTTGCTGCAATTCAGTAAACACAAGGTCTTTCTCATGTAGCTTCTGGAAAAGCCCTGTCATGGAGTCCAGGTGAGCCATCATGTCTCCTCCTTTCTGAAGATGTAAGCGAAATAATTTCCGTGTCAGGTAGATATGGACACCCACAGAGTCACGAACGTAGAGCTTCTTTAGCTTTGTCCAACACCTCGCAGCAGACTCTTCGCCCCGGAAATGGACTAGTTGCTGGTCTCCCAGTGTCAGGCCTATGATGCTTAAAGCACGCTCGTTGTCCCTGTGAAACTTCGCTATCTTTTTGGCATCTTCTTCGTCAGCAGCATTCAATGCAGTTATGTCCGGTGGATTATTAACCATGTCCCACAGTCCTTCTTTTCGCAAAAGTAGACAGCATTTTGTGGACCAGGTAACATAGTTTGTACCATCCAACCGGGTTATGGTGGTATAACTTGTACCTTGCTCAAAAGCCATCATCTTGACTACTACACCCACTGCCTGCATTTCTCACTTCCGCAAAAACAAATTTAAGAGCTCTGGAACGTTCTGGGCCCATAACCAATGTTAGGATGTGTGTAAAAAGTATTTGTTGCTTTGTTGCAGAAACACACAGGGAAGGAGATAAATGTGCAGCTCGTGTGAGAAAAATACTTTATATACAAGATAATAAGCAGTCTCAGTATAGGTAAAGCAGTCCAAGGTCATAAACAGTAATATCAGTCCAGTAAGTATCTTCCCTTACCAAAGCAAACAGACTTTAGTAACTCTTGGTATACAGTACCATATAACAATCCAGTCTAACACCAATCAGCAGAAAGACGCAGGAAGCAACAGGAGCAATCAGGAACAAAGAACGCTTCTCTGCGCTGCTTATTTATGCAATGTAGCCTAATTACAGGGTTCAGCAAACCCTGATTACGTGGCTCAGTTGTTTCTTAAAGAAACAGATATATTGCCTGACCAACAAGTTAGGAGTAAGCTACAAGCTGAACCTAACAGTGCCTTTGCAGCCTCTGACCCGATGCCGACCTCAATTGGATCCTTGGTTCTCCGAGGAGCTGAGAGAGATGAAGCATTGGAAAAGACGCCTAGAGAGCATTTGGAGGACTAGTCAATCCGATTCCGACCGGACATTGGTGAGGTCTTATATCAAGACCTACCTAGTGGCGATAAAAGCGGCAAAATCTAACTATTTTTCCGCTCTTATCGCATCTCCAGAGAACCGCCCAGCTGCTCTGTTTAGGGTGACCCACTCCCTTCTTCAGGGGGGAGTGCGGGAAGATCCCTTGCAGGGTCGAGCTGAGGATTTTGTGCAATTCCTGCATGATAAAGTTGCTCGGCTTCGGGAAGGCTTGGACTCCGACTGGGTGAGTCCGGGGGAGGAGACGAGGGTAGGTCTTGAGAACATTATCTGGGAGGAGTTTGATCCTGTGGCTCCCAAGGATGTGGACAGGGTTCTGGGTAAGATTAGTGCCGCCACAGGTTTATTGGACCCGTGTCCCTCCTGGTTGGTACTGGCCTCCTGGGAGGTTACACGAGGCTGGCTCCAGGGGATTATAAGTGCTTCTCTGAGTGAGGGTGCATTTCCCGCTGCCTTGAAAGAGGCGGTGGTGAGGCCCCTCCTCGAGAAGCCTTTCCTCAACCTGGCTGAATTAGCCAACTACCGTCCGGTCTCCAACTTTCATTTTATGGCGAAGGT